GTCGCGCGAATATACCTTTTTTTATACATATACAATTATACTTTTTATTTGATATACTGCCTTTGGCGTCTAACACTTACGATCACTAAATCGCGATCAAGAAGTTTTGTAAGCGATCAAGTCTATCTTGATCGAGGTCTTTTCTATGCGTTTTTGACTTCCCCGACTATACGACTTGACAACAGGCCCATTTTTTGCGGTCAAATAAATGTGTCTTTTAGATGGTCTGTCGGGAACGTCATCTCGGGCGGATTGAAATGACGGCACGATTTATCGTTACGTTATTCATTGTATCGGTTAAATTAAACCGATTAGAAGCATGGTCGAACGTTTCGTTTTGAGAGGACCATATCGAGAGGTAAAGGCTGCAATGAACTCTTACCTGCATGAACTTCTACTTAAGAGAAAGGGAGGCACCTACACGACGCGTAAAGGATTAACGCTTCTCGCGGATAAAGCGTATCAAGACGGATTTGTGTGAGACTGTTTAAATATTCCCAAGCAACACATACAGATCCATTAAGACGTCTGAGAAGTGACTAGGCACGTCTGAGATATAGTAAACGTCTTGTTTCCCGCGTTAATGGGATAAGTGCGAGAGAGGCTTGTAATAAAACATTAATTTAAGGATTTGTTGGAAGGAACAAGTTTTTCGTTTCTATCTGACAAATATTTGAACGGCGATCTCCGATATTTCAGGCTACAAAACGTACATTCTCTCCTCTTAACTGGCATTGTCGAAGTACTATCGCACAGCGATATAATAAAGCTACGCTCTTTTTCACCGTAATTTTGTTTATGCTGCACGATCTGCGTTGTGATCGATAAGTTTAGTTTCGATACAAGAAGAATTAACGATGTCAGGTAATGAATGAGATAAGAATTGTAGATAAGAATCCGATCACATCGCCAGTTTATTTAAGTGCATAGTAATAATGATGAAATCATTGTGCGACGGGATCAATGAAAAAAATTAAATAAAAATTCTAATAGAATAAAAACGCCAAATTTTCGGTATAAAAGATCAAATTGTATTTTACCACCTTGAAGATGTATAAATTTATCTCTGATCTTTTGCCTGAAGATAATGAAGACTTGAGTCCGATCGGACCGATAGTCTAGTACTCAATTAATCCTAGAATCGTAATCCTTTTCTATTACAATTATGCTTATCAAAGATAGGCACGGCAATTAAATCAAATTAATCCAGATTAATCCGTTAATCATCGATTCACCGTAACTTTGATCATGCAACGAAATACATAATATTGTACAGACAGGATTCTGTTAAGAATTATTTTGTAAGATAGAATTGTAATAAAAAGGAGATAAAGACGAAGGATAGATAATGTTACGGTGAAAAAAGGAGGTACATGCAATTGGATTGTAAACGCCAGTTGATGAGAGATAGTCAGCCGGATGACATAAGGGAACTTAAAAAAAAGAGGACAGTCTGAGAAAAACTAATATCAAAATTTGCGAAGAGAAAATATGTAAGCCAATAGGCCCCGATCGCTATGTCGATTACAATACTTGTAGCAGCAACGATCTTATGTTGTTCACTTATTCTCTCATGTTTGGCTGTTGTACGCTCGCTAATCGTTAGTACTGTAAGTAACGTTTAAGACTTGTACGTAGATCGCATATGAAACAACGTACGCAACGTAGACGATGATCATTATAAAATATTTACGCTATGTACGTACCGTTCGCGTCGTACTGATTTTTTTAAAGTGTTCGTTCGTTCGTTCATTCGTTCATCGTTGAGTCGAGGATGCGAGAGGCGGAATTAACAACCAAATGCGACAAGCGAGATGGAAATTTTGATCTACACGAATCTTTGCGAATAGATATTCTCATATTTTCCGAGAGTTACGAATGGGACATTGTTACTGTAAAGATATGTAAGTTTATTTATCGCTAATAAAAATGAACGTTGAAGAAAAAAAATGGAGAAATATATGAAGAAGACAAAAAAGTTTCGTTCTTTCTAATTAATAATTTTTAGTAAATAATGTCACAAATAAAACCACGAGAATTTCAGTATTTAGAGGAATAGAGGAAATCTATCGGCAACTCGATCAAATTAAATCGATATTGAACATGCAGTAAAGCAAGAATAGAGAACGGAAACCTTGAAAGACGTGTCATGATAATTAACTGTTAAAGAGTAACTGTAAATTTAAATCAATTTCTCAAATATAATATTTTGTTATTTTAATTTCCAAGTATATAATATCAAAATGTATTATTTTAATATAAAATATAGTTAAAAATATAATCATTGCACATCTAATCATTTATGTAGTTGAATTGTTTAGTTTCATCAAAATAAACAGTGTTTGAATTGACTTTTTATAGCGTACCTCAAGGTTTAGGGGGTGAAACACCTCCTCGAAAAAATATGGATTTTATCATTTTTAGCAAATATCTTTGATATAAAAAAAAGTAAATACACCATTATATAGAGCACAAAATACCATAAAACTTTTGTATCAAACATTTTTCTATATATATATCGCATAGTTTCAAAGATATTTACTAAAAACGATAAAATCCATGTTTTTCGAGGAGGTGTTTCATCCCCCAAACCTTGAGATACGCTAATAAAAAAAAATATGGATCTAATATTTTTTTATACTCCACAACATATCCAAAGCCCATCAAAATCGGTGAGGAACGACTTCGACGGTTCCTTTGTTAGTGATACGTAAATAATGAACTAAATTTGAGTTACAATAAATTTAATACACTTCTTGAGTTAAATTGTTCATTTATTGTGTTAGTTAAATTAATGACATATTGAGTAGGAGCTGCAGTGGCGACCTATAAAAATGATTAAAAATAACTTAAATTGAGTATAATTTAATATTATAAACTTTTAACAGTGATAAATGTAATACTTCAGAATCAATATATTGTCCATAAAAATACAAGAACTTCAATGCTTGTTTTCAATACATATGGTACTTAAAGATTAAAGGTTCACGAGATTCATCAATAAATTTCTCGGTAACCTTTAATCTTTAGATAACAATATATATTGTGAAAAGAGACTTTGGAGGGATAAAAAATCTATCAGCAACTTGATTAAACGAATCGAAAAATCAGCAATCGATAGAGCACATGATTGAACAGGAATAGATATTAGAGAAATTCTACAGGACGTTTGATGTTAATGGACAAAATACTTTACAAAGAAAAATATAATAAAATATCTAAAAATATAGCAAGCTATATAAAAGTCTGAAAATAATTTTGTTATACTACTAAAATAATTAGACATGTTATTAAAATAATTAGATACAATATTAGGAAATTCAAGCATGAACAATGCTTCAAAAATTTTGATATTTTAGCGTCCCATAATTATTTTGATAGATAAAATTATTTTTACACTTGTATCTAGTTAAATTTTTAGATATTTCAGCAAAACCTTTACGTTCTTTACGTATAGGATATTAGAAGAACAAGGAATTAAATAAACAGTCAAAGTTATATATTTTTTAGCGATTTATTAAATCCTTTAAAATATTTGAAACAGCGTGCGGCTTTGTTATTGGCGTAACAGTGATATAGTCGTTTAAGGTACGTAATACGAGGAGGGCAAAGCGAGCGAAGATCGATGTAAAGTCCGCCCGCCGGTCGCCGGATTAATTTCAGGCGAAAGGAATCATGGCAGATCCATCGATTCGGCACAGTAATCGCGGATCGTCGGGATTGAGCGAGCGACGTTAGCGATCCTTCGGTCTTTCTTTTCCCTTCCCGCTCGCTCGCTCGGCGATCGCGCCATCGCGACGCATGCATGATCGGCGCGATCCGCGGAGAAGTTGCGGTGCGTCCGTTCCTCTTAAGATTAACTTTAAATAGAATGTAACGTTATCTAGTTTATTAGACGAGATTAAAATCGAGGAAAAAAGTCCACATACGAGACGGAATTCAATTACGGTCTAATCGATCTTACGTCTTAAAGTCTGCCCAGTGCGGCATCGAGAGACTCGGAAGAGAGTATTAATCGGTATATATAGAAGCCACGTCTGCCTCCGGATATCAAGAACACGTGCAAAATGAATTAGATTTATTTCTCAATCAATGAGAATTACTTATTTCTCAATCAGTTTATAGTTTCTCGCACTTGATGCTTATTCCTTACGGAAATTTAATACTGGAATTAATTACTTGTACTGATTAATTAGTGGAAAAAAAACTAAATTTCAATAAATATTTGTTTAAATATTTCCAAGTAAAACAATATTTACTAAATATAAACATATATTTATTTAATACAAAAATCATTAATTAGATTTAACTACTATTTTTTTATTGAGTAAATATTTATTTACTAAAAATATTTGCTTAGTACTGTTCAAAGAAATATGTATTAAGATTTGGTAATTTTTTTTTCAGAGTATTTTAGATATTAAAAGCACTGGACAACAATGTTTTTAATACTCAAAATAAATAATTTACAATATTAAATTGACCAATATTAAATTGAATTTCTGCAAGGAATCTTCAGAAATAGAAATTGAAATCTTTACGTCTTCCGCGTTGCGTGGTATGTCGCGGTATCGTCGGAGAGACAGGGGCTTTACTTTCCGAATAACTTTCGTTTTCCGAGATAAAAGTCATATAGTCGACTGCTGATGATTCATCCGGTGTTTTCGCGAATTTATGGCTCGTCGCCAGCAACCCTTATCACTCTATCCAGCTCGGCGAAATTTCGCCAAGCTCATTACCAAACTGCCTTATAATTATCTTATGTAATTATCTCAATTATCTGATTATCGCTATCTTCTTAAGCGTGCCAATGAAAGAATCGTTCCTCGTAGTCTTGTGTTTTATTTTTGCGTATTTATTTGATTTATATTTCAATTAGAAATTTTTATTTCAGGGTAACTGGAATTTTTTATTTCATTTTTAAGGAAATCAATCTTTTTTCCGAATAAATTTTTCAATCTACGTAAACTATTTTGAGTTGAAATCATTGAATTCGCGTATAGAGGGTTACAGGTATAATTTTTAGAATTAGATATGGTTCGAAACGTTCTCATATTGTACGTTCATCAGCGGACGACTGGTGACTGTTAATTAAATCAAGTGTCACGAGCCATCGAGTCATGAAACTCGTGATTTATCGAAAATCTCCCGATCGACGGGGTTTCGATTCGCGTATGACGTATGTGTTTAGTATACATCGAAAATTCGTGCTGTACCCGCGATGAATACGCAGATAACGATAGCTCAGTGCAGATTTTTTATTTTTTAAGTTTTTTTTCTTTGTAATCTATATTCACAATGCGCTTAGCGAGACCTTCGCATTCCAGCATTAAAATTTGATTCGAAATCTGAGAATAAGGATGAGAATTAATATGAAACGTAAACGGAATTTACGAAGTCGAAATTGAGCCTCGTTCCGTTTGTCAATCGCATACTCGTACGTATTGCGAAACGCGAGAGAAGGTATACTTCGCGAAAGCGAGATTGAATATCGCTTTTGCCCGTATCGGTATGTCTTATCTAACAGAGAGGTGAGAATAAACGTGATCTTAGAAGAGCGGAGATTGCAGATCCTCGTCGTCATCTTCTTCGTCTTCGTCGATTCCCGGCTCGCCGAGAGCGTGAACGAATTCTGAAATCACAAACAAAAAGGAATTAAGAATATTTTTGCTGCGTAATATCAACTAAACGTATCAACCAAAAAATCAGCCAAAAAAACTATCAGCTAAAAATTTTTGTTGTAAATACGTCCTAAAATCAGCTGCAAAAAAACAAAATTATTTGGCTTTCGATGGCTTTCATGCAGCGCAATTACCATATTTTATTGCAATTTTAGGTAAATAATTTTTATTTTGAACAAGTAAATCGAAATAAACTTTTGTATATAAATATTTGTAAGAGTTTTATTAGTATATACAAAAAAAAATTGATTTCATTTTTATTATTTTATGCTACTTCATTATAAAATTCGCAAGTAAGTACTACAAAAACCGAATTTACGTAAAAATTAAAACAAAATAATTAAATAATCATAAATTTTCAGTAAAGCTCATAGAAACCGACATAATGAACGTGTGTAGAATATTATATTAACAGAAAATACAATTTAGATGTTTCAATCCTCGGTTTAGGTCTTTTTCGGTATGATAGTGACACGTTAATAAATTATTAATTTCGCTGTACAGTAATCATTAAAACTGTCATATTAAATAATTACAAAACGGTATCAAATTTCTTATGAAATATCGTAATATTAAAGTTCAAGAATAAAAATCATCAAACGTTTCAGTACTTGGCAGAATACTTAAATTATAAATCAAAAATTGCAATCAAAATATAATATCGATAAGATGACGAAATAGAGAGCGCATCCAAGCACAACATGTACGTAACAAGATGTTATAAAAAATTAAATAATGCTTTTGAGGTTTCCACAGTTTGAGATTTCCTTTTTATACAGAAGCTATACGTTTCGCAGATTATCTTCGTGTTCAGATCCATTATTAGAATGCCAACATTTCGTGAAGACTGTGCAGTTCACTTTCTCAGAGCGAGAAACAGCTTGATATTAATGAACTGTGATGTTGTGAATGCAAACATTGACACTCTAATAATAGATCTGATCATGGAGATAACTCGAAACGCATAGCTTCTGTATAAATAACTTTTAAACCAGTGACAGAATTGTACTCAAATTTTATACAAATATTTACAATTAGATGTAACACTTATATAATAGAATAATCTATAAAATTTTTATATTTTTGGCAACGCTTTGAGTTGTAAAATATACATCCTTAAATATTTCTTAAAACAGAACATGTAAAGTCGATTAGTCGCATTTATCAAAATTGATTTATCATTATAAAAGGAAAAAACAAACAGTACAAAGCTATATAACGCGCGGTCTATGATGTCTAATATATATTAAAAATATTGAAATAACAAAAGAGATTTTTTAATTATTACATAACATTACAAAAAAAGAAAAAAATAATCGTCCTCTTTTTCTGTATAATCTCTTAAATAACTCCTACCCCCCTTTCTATAAAGACATTTTAATTGTTAGATAACATTGCAAAGAAAAGAGAAGAACAGATATATTTCGTTTCCTCCATTATTTCTCGAACAATTCTTATTTTTCTGTAAAATGTTAAATTCTCCTTTTATTTTAGATATGACTCCATCAATCATTTCAAGAATGGATCGTATGCGAATAGAAATTAAAATCTCTTTTTCACCATCTGCTCTTATCCCTGTGTTTGCACGAAAATCGCGCGATGGTAATACAAGAAATCTTACCGTAGAAATCAATTCGACCGTCTCCATCCACGTCCACTTCCTTAATCATATCTTCGACTGAAAGCAAAAAGAAAAAGAGCGGTTTGCAGTTAATTTTTCTATTTACAATTAAAATTGTTTCTTTTTTCAAATAAAAATAATGAACTACGAGCCAAGCTAGATCTTGACATTAAAATATAATAATTATTTTGAATATACACAAAAGCAAGGTTTTTTTCTTTTCAGATTTATCTACTATATGATTTTACTGAATAATTCGTTGTAAAAGGAAGTATTGTAAGTATACAGATTTGAAGGCATTTATTCTGAGATATATATTTTAACGAACTGAATTGTCTCGTATACTTTCTATTTTATTCGTTATTGTTGGCCGCGATTAGGCATTTAGGAAAAATAAAGCGATATATTTCAGGTGAAATTAAAATGTATGTCGAATTCAATGTGTAACATATTCCTATCACGGTTGCTTGTACAGAGAAGATGTGCCTATATTCTTGCAGTAATTCAGTTAATATATCTTTGCTGCGTTGAGCAATGGGATTAATTCGTATCACGAGCGCCGAGAGCGATGCCGAGAAAGATATTACCAATATACCCGCATTATCCCACGTAGAATTTATTGCTACGAAAAGGAATGAAGAGGGCATAACGATCCGTTACGATACCACACTGGCATTCAAAGACTTTCCCTTCGGATGCTTTCTTGAAATTTTTTAAATTAAAATTTTCGCTAATAAGAGAATTTAATTTCCTATTAGAAATATACCTTAAAAATGCGCATTGCATTTTTAAAGTATATTTCTTTTGTATTATTTACTTTAGGTTCTGACACATTTAGATAGTTTTAACTTTTTATACATTCTGCTTCGTTCATATTGTTATATCGTTTTGTACCTTTTTTTATTTATATTACTGAATTTTATACTATACACAGATTATATATTTCACATACATCGTTGGCAACTAAATGTTATACATGTTTATTCTCATATTTTTCAATTTATATTGTAAAATCTGGATTAACCTTTCGTAAGAAGGACTTATGAATTTGGCTTACTTAATGGCATTATCAATGACTTTTTTATATTTGGCGAATATCCTTTGTAATCGAACCATGGTGTATATCCGGGATTTATTGTTTGACAACTACATATATTCGTTGTTGGATACTCAGCGATATTTGAATGTTTGGCGCAAATCCGGGATCTACCTTCCGTCGACTACACATAACTGATATCAGGACCTAAACAGCGAAGGTCTACTTTTAATTATTTTTTGGCATTGTACTTTTATAATAACTTATTTATGTTATCTATTTTAGTTTACTGCTATTTACATACATATTAGTTTAGAACTTTGAAAATGACCCGAAAGTGGTCGAAAAGTTAATTTTATATAGACATATTTTTATCTTGTCTTTACTTTTATGTTTAATGTCAACTGTATCACGTATATATTTAAATTTTGCTTGTTTTGGCTCATACCTCTTCTTATTTTAATTTCTATTAGAAATCGTCGATTCCCTATTCTTATACGCGTGCCGACTAATAGATAACATAATAACTTTTAGAATTTTTTATTTCTTTTTAAATCCGAAATTAACATGTATCAAACATCTTGAAACAAACGTAATATTTTAGTTTTCTCAATTGTTGATATTTCATTTCAATCTAATAGATAACCGATTGAACAACAAATTTTGATCAATATTTTTGTTCTTTAACAATAAAAGGTATTTTTTCAGTTTTTTATAGATCTTCTTACACTGAAAATGGATATATCTTTTAAAAAAGATCATCATCCTTAATTTTTTAGTAATTTTGCTTCGAATTTCGTATGTAATAACGTAAATTCATAATATATAGTATAATTATAAGAAATTTAAATTTTTTAATAATAAATATAAAAATAATTTATGATTTAAGGTTTATTTTATTGTTTATGTACAATTCATGTTTATGTTACAATTTTAAGTTATATATTAAAATAATAAAATTTATTAGCAATATATTTAGTAACAAGCAATTACACTGATTTACAAGATTTTTGTTTCTCAACACCAGATGATTTTTATGTATTTCACTCCGTAAAGTAAAAGAAAAAAGTTATACATAATTTAAATTTTGTAGTTTTTTTAAACAATAAAGATAATTTCTTGATTTCTCAAACTCTTTAGGGTGATAGAATTTTTGTAATCTTACGTTCTTTTTTAGCAGTTAAAAATATTGCATTGGAAGAAAAGTTCGTTGCGCTACGAACTTTAAAATTTAAATAACTTTATTGAAAATGAACGAAATTTAAATTTAAAAAAGAATTTTAAGGCGGTTCTTTAGTAAATCGAGTTACCATAGAAATGTTTAATTTCTTTATATAATGAAATTGAATTAGTGAACGTGACGTGTGCAAAATTCTAAGGTAAGTTAACGATGAAATGAGAGAAAAAATGTTGAAGAGATGTAACTTTTAACATATAACTTAGTAACAGATAAGGATCGGAAACGTTTCTTTGACTAATTGCACACAAATATTACTATAGATTTCTCTAAAAAATAAGATTATATTAGTTCAAAAAATTACAATTGCAATGGTCACAAAAATAATAGCCAATGTCCATTTTGGAGAGATATTTACATACACAAACTTGCATATAATTTTAACCTCGAAAAGGAAACATAACTTTATCCTGTTTTCGTTTGGTGAAGATACAGTTTTTGAGAGAGAGAGATTTACTATGTTTCGTACCATATTTTATTAACATACATATATGTAGTTTTAATATATTATCCAATTATGCAAATATTTTTGTAATTTTGGGTGGACTCTAGTGAGACATTCCAAATTTTCGGCATTTTACTAAAAAATCACTTTAAAGCTTAAAATATATTCTTTCAAAAGGTTACTATATCTTTTGAGTTTTTATGAGTTTGAAAATTTTTACATATATATAATATTACGAGCTGGATAAAAAAATGGGCAATTTTCTTCTCGTTTTGCACCTTTCACGTGCTTAAAAAAACATGCAAAAATTTTCGACTTTCCAACACGAAAGATTGAAGTTTTCCCTATAAAATAATTTTTTTTAAATGTTCCTAAAATTTTGTTATTGAGTTATCAGATTAAATAAAAGAAGCATTTCGACTTTGATTGCTCATAATTCCGTTAAAAATTCATCGTACCGCGATTAAAAAAAAAACATGTAAATATAATAAAGCGCTACGAATTTATGTTCCAATCCAATATATAAGATTCATTATTCAGTTGTTGAGAAACAGAAATTTTATAAATCAGTGTTATTTCTTCAAGCTACTCCTCAGGTTTTATGATAGATTTAAAAAAAAGTTATTGACTCTGTACAAAGAAACACAGTTCGACTGGAATAGATTTTGACATCATTTAAAATTTAAGCTATTCATTCGACAAAAATTCACAATATTATAGCAATGGTCATAGCGTATTTCATAAATTGTAGTACCGCCAATTGTGAGACAATTGTACATCTTGAACATTGCGCGATTTAGTCTAAACTGATTGCGGCCAAACAAGAAACCTATGTCGATTATCCGTTTGTGCGAGATTATCAAATCAATCGAAGTTATCAAATCAATCGAAGTTATCAAATCAAACCGAGTTTCTCGATGTATACGTTTCGCTGACTCTCTTTCTCTCTCTCTTTCTCTCTCTCTCTCTCTCTCTCTCTCTCTCTCTCTCTCTCGGCGCACTCTGAAATTACTTCTTCCTTCGTATCTAGCAATGAATTAACGCTTGGCGGATGCGCAAGAACTAGCGTTTCAACTGACCATTAACATCAAGACTTTTTCAACGCGATAACGATCAAATCATATTTGAATTACTAACCTCGTTGATCACGTTTTCCATGTCCTCTGCTTCCTTTTATTAGAGCGTAATTAACCGAATGTAATTACATCGTGCACGAGCAAAGCATATTTCCCTTCTTGGGAAACAATTATTTCTCTAAATGCTTCTTTAAACGCGCTTTTCCGCGCTTATTATTAAGAAAAAAATACAAACGCAGCGCGATAATTAAGATCGTAAACCCGAAAGAGTCTACTAGAGAAAACAAACGCGTAACGCGAAATTCTTTATGTTTGCATTTCCTGGAGCAGCCGTGGTAGTCTGATTATATTTTAAAACCCAGAGCACAGAGGAGAACAAAAGGCAGCCAATGGCACATAAAAAGACTTAAAGCAATAAGACATACATAAGCAGTAAACCAGAGCTGTCTAAGGCCGGCATTTTTTTACTTGAAATTGAAATATGTCAGTATTCACCATTACGTGCCTATTTCTTACTTCATTGTCATTCTGTCATAGAGAGTGATGCTCAGTCTCATGGACGACACTAGGCTGAAATCATTAAAAGTTATTGACCTGTGTCTTTCACTATGTTTAAAAGTATTATATTACTAATATTATAAGATACTATTATTCATAATATATTTAACTATAAAAATATGAATAACAGAATAATTTGAACATAATGAAAGACACAGATCAAAAACTTTTAACGATTTTAAATTAGTGTCGTCCCTGAGACCGAGAGACGCACGCTACGACAAAACAGCAATAGAGTAGGAACGGTAATAGATCTGAATACCGACACATTTCGATTTCAAGCCAAAAAACACCGACCTTGGACAGCTCTGCAGTAAACGAATCAGCCAATCATAATAGTGAACGTAAGATAATATACTGTTAAAAATAAAATGTTAATTTTAACTTAAAGATTTAGTGGACTTTCTGAGACATGCAAAAATGTTAAAATTAACAATCTTTTTGTAGAAAAATTTTAATATTTTTGTACGTCTCAGAGTCCACTACGTGGATTACGTTTTTAATCTTGTAGTACCATTCTGTGCCTTTTATCACTTTTTTTCAAAATTTGTATTCAAATTTCAATATGTAAAAATAAATAAAATATAACCCAGTTTTTATTATAGTAAAAACTTATTATTAAAGGTTTCATAAATGTACAAAAATTGTTTCAGATTTTTAGTTCGAATCATAAAAAATATATGCTGTTTCGCTCAACAGCCCATAAACTGTGATCGAAAATTTCGGGGTGGTGCTGGAAGTTTAAGTTAAAATTAACAGTGTAACATAAACAATAAACAAATAAAAAAAATGTTGATTTGCTTACTGCTTACTTTTTTATCTATTTATTATTCTGTGGGTCACTAACTTTAACCGTTTACTAACATTGGCGTACTTGCAGGAACCCACGCACGTATCCGACCGATCAAAACGTCATTCTTCAAATGTCGAATGCAAAGCATTGACGTTCGGGCCGCTCAGGAAGCAACGTGACAAACACGAGATACTGTACATTATTGCGATCCGCAAATCTGCGAAGCGGTCAGCGCGACTGTAACATCGCGATTAATACCTGGCGTCTGAGATACATGTCATGATTTGCAACGGATTTGGTTGTAAATTGCGTTAATAAACGCAAATTTGCAAATGCATTTCGGAGAATCATGTAGTTTGCAATAACACAAACTCTGTTAAAGCAAATTTGTCCTCAATTAACTCGGAAATAGTTATCTAATTTTTTATTGCATAAACGATCAATACTCCAATTCAAAGTTACTATTATTAACTACTATTGTATGTTATTGATTGTTCTACAATTTCATTAGTATTTGAGATCATTATACTGATTTAGTTGATATTTTCTAAGAAATGTTAGGAGAAATAAAATAACAGATATGGAACTTTATTTCTTTGCTGCTAAGATATAAAAATGACTTCAGGTGGTTATTCTCCAAGTAGTAAAATGCTATCATTATAATGATTTAAGGTCATTTTTCGTTATTTTATGTTAGTTGTAAAATAAATGTAATATTCGTGATGATGTATAATATTATCATCATTTAATCGTCATTTTTAATTTATATTTAATGAATAAATAATGGATAAAGTTATCAATTACTATCTTTATTAAATAATCAATAATTGCAAATAAATAAGTATATATATTTATTTACTTGCAATTTATTGGCGCAATATTGACGCAGTTTATCTCCAATGCATGCCAATGTTTAAACAATTTATCGCCAATGAATTAATCTACGAAGATTGCAAGTGCTTATTGTTTAAGTAAGACAAATATTAATTAACAATGTTATTTATTCATTATAGTTATTTATTCCACAGAAAAATAAATTGTATCTTAGCTTACATTACGTAAGATTACATTGTGTAAGATTACATATGTCATGACGAGAAACATACATCATCTTATACAATACATAATATAAACTAAGATACAATTTATTTTTCTGTATCGCATTATAATTTGAGAGGGCTCCTTCTTGACGTCTTTTGTGATTTAAGACATTTATTGACACAGACGTTATATTGATGATCCTTGATATTGATATTGATATTGATGTTACTTAGGTTCTAAGTTAAAATAAATTCGGCTTTAATTGATTCTACAGATTTGCTATTAATTTTGGAAAATACGATCTCTTTGCAAAATTTATGGAAATTATTAATTTATTATTCGTTAATTGATGCTTAGCTAATAGCTGTTATGTTTTTAACAAGATCGACAATCTTAGGATAATAACTGTGGAATAATCGGTATTAGTGACAGGTGTGTCTAGATATGGGGTTTATGATAGCACGGATGATTCAGCCGTTGCTTGCTTTATTTGCGCAAACACTCGATTGGCACGAATGCGGGCAATGTGCTGACGTTTTTGCGGTGAGAAATAGAATCGTGGGATGGCACGGCTAAAGACGCATGGTCTAGATTTGTGATGAGTATGTGTCAACAACGTGGAATTAGGAAATTTAAGTCTTTGTGAAATAACAAAGGGCGGACACGCGCAAATAATAATTCAGGGCAAAAATTATGATACTCATAATATGAAAGATATTTTCTCCTTTCTTAAAAATAATGTGATATATTTCAGGCAAGAAAAAACCTTAATGTTCTTTATACAAGAAAAAAACTGTTTGTACACAGTACACAAATAAATTTCTCTATCTGAAATAGACTGCATAAAATAATGCGATTACAGTTAGAAAAATCTTTAAAATATTTTTACAGAAACAGTATATACAGAGCATCATTTAGCTTAACTAGGTAAATCTGATTAGTTTTCAACAATGAGCTCGAATCAGCTATCAATTTTAATTTTATAAAGTACTACTAAATTAGCTCGTTTATTTCGAGATAGTAGATATTAATGATATTATCTCGAAATAGTAGATATTATAATAATTAATGTTTTTATAAAATTTTGGAACTGCACTTATAGTTTATTTGTGCGCAATTACGATATACAATATCAATTAACAACACATGATTAACAAATAAAATTCTGTTCACATTTATTGCGTGAAAAGACAGTTAAAAATAAAACTTTTCGCGTTAAATAGAAATTTATCCGTATAATGCCGAGCTCTGCTATGAAGTTACGCTTCCCGAGAATCAATTGGCCTTAGGTATGCCAATTTAGATGGAAATGGCCTACTTTAGCTTTTATGGTTAAAGTTTCTCTTATCGAAAGTTGAGAGAGAGAGAGAGAGAGAGAGAGAGAGAGAGAGAGAGAGAGAGAGACAGAAAGGGAACGAAAGAAAAAGACAGAGGGAACGCCAACGCATGTTATATCCGCGTAATCGTGTCACATTCATCGTAATGGACTATCGAGGAATGCGTTAAATATCTAAGACTTACTCTCTTCCTCGGAAAGATCCTCTCCCAGACATTGCAGCACCGCTCTAAGATCCGACGCAGTGATATACCCACGATTATGTTTGTCAAACACCTGTATACAACAAGCAAACAGAAAAATCCAATTAAATCCATGGCAGAGCAAATCTCTGCACTGAGAGAAAAGTCTTGATATTTTTGTCTATTATATATATATATATATATATAAAACCGAATAAAATAATTATGGTTAGGAGTTCTATTTTTATAGTTATTATACATAAATATATATGTATATACATATATATGCTACAATGGTACTTATAATAATTACATTTAATTATTAATTATTAGTTCTATAAAAAAATATATAGTTGGCACAGAAAATAACTATAAATTATAATTAAATTATGATAATTACAATAATTTCTTTGTATGCGCTTTGAATAAAGATGTAAAAAAAATCGGAAATGATAAATGACACAAAACTTTGGTCGCATCATCAGTAATTTCTATTGACGATTTCTTCAAGATATATAATCAAAATAATCACTAAACGCAACGAGAAAAATCAATGCCAAGTTTGTTATTTCATTTCTCTCTCCATCGCTGGATTTCTCCTACGATCACATAATGACTCCTAGGGGAGCAAAAAAGTAAATATTTTTTTTTCTCAGAAAAGTTATCCCTCTTCGAAGCTCGCCCTCTTTCGTTTACAAAGACATTTCGCTTTTGTTTCCGTTAATTAGTAAGTAGAAACGTTTTGATGAACATTAATTTTCCCAGGGAAGGAAGTCGAAGCGAAACAGAGACAAAGTAGCTGACAAGGAAACAATTATTCTACCTTATTATTTATTGCACACAGCGGTAAATCGACTAGCACAATTTGTAAATCGGAATCGAAGCGAACAGACGCAAAATCGAATTATCCAGATCTTTCCCGAAATAGAACTGGAATTGATACTTGAATCAAGGAATTGTTTTCTGAGAAACATTTGCGTGTCCAACAGCAATACAATCAATTATATTGCTACCTACAACAGTATTTTGTTCGATGACATTCTATTGAGATAACGAGTGAAGCATCGTGGAAAACGTCATACTCCAAGAAAAGGATCATTCGTAAGGATCTTTGCCTCCCGCTCTCGTCACACTCGCGATCGTAGAGGATTATGAAAGAGCAGTTTGACGTTTAACAGTGGGAGACAATGCAGAGACGTCTACCAATGCAAACAATATTGTTACTACTGACTCACTCGCGCGAGCATCGCCAGCTTGTTTCACTCAGCTTGATTCAATTTGGTTACACTAATGAGTAGTTATTGCAACTACAGTGGCGGGCTTAGAAATACGTTGCCGAACTCCGTTTGCAATCTCCTCCGTCCGATGTCTGTCGAATGGCGTGTCTTTTGTCCGTCCACGAATTCGAATTCCTCATCAAAGAGGCTTACCTTGAATATCGAACTGCTGTTTTTCATGTATTCCGATAAGATTAATTTCGCGGTGCGTGTACTTTTCATAAGTTGCACGATTGTATAAAATTTGATTTTTTTTTTCGTATTTTGATATTCAAATGTATACAGGATCACCAATCATAATAATCAAAAAAGAAAAAAAGGGAAGAAAGATTGAAAAAACAAATCGAGATTATATAACAAAATTTTTCATTCAAAGTTTTATTTTTTTTAAATTGACTTTAAAAATTAAAAAATTCTTCTCTCTTCTTTTTTATATTTAGAAGTATGCACAAACTTCATATTGCATGCTATTTTAACATGATGATAATTAGATATGAACAAAATGTAAAATGAAAAATAAAAAATGTAATATAAATTATTGAATCATGTACAAAATACTAAAAATTGAATAATAATATATTAATTTAAACAGCTATATAAACACATTAAATAAGTAAAGAAAGGGCCAATACGATTAAGGCCAGATCTTGGTGCTTAATAATATTTATATATCGTTCCCTCATTTTAAAAATTACTGCAACTAACAAAAATTTAATTTTTTAGAAAAGGGAAAACTTTTTCATTTTAACAGAAAATTATTGACTATTCAAACAGTATCGATAAAAAGAATATATTCTTAGAAACATAATTAAATATAATTTAAATTGTTTTTGTCTTACAACTCTTAAAAAAACTACCTTTTTCAGTTGTGACAATTTGGATATCCTATAAAATTATAACAATTCTGAAATAATTCATCAAAAATAATATAATTCGAGGTATCACCAACAGTTTATATCTGCTTAATCAGTTAAAGTGACTAAAAATTCAAAATAAAATAATTTCTTCTTTAAACTTCAATCACTAAACTCTAAATGTTCTCTTATTTAAGATTATTTTAGCTGATTAAGGCAAATATAAACTGTTAGTGGTACTTTGAGTTATATTACTTTTGATGAATTAGTTCAAATTTGTCATAATTTTATAGAATATTAAAATTATCGCAACTGAAAAATAGTAGTTTTTCAAGGACTGCGAAACAAAAATAACAATTTAAATTATATTTAATTATGTTTCTAAAAATATTTTTTTGCCGATATTATTTAATAATTATATAAGTATATATATATATATATAGTCAATAATTTTCTGTTAAATTGAAAAACAGTTTTCCTTTTTTGAAAAATTAAATTTTTTTAGTTGCAATAATTTTTAAAGTGAGGAAACGATACAAATGTTATTAGGCACCAAGATCTGGTCTTAACCGTATTAGCTCTTTCCTTACTTATTTAATGTATTCATATAGCGGTTTAAATTAAATTTATCATTATTAAATTTTTAATATTTGGTACATGATTCAATAATTTATATTACATTTTCAATTTTTCATTTTACATTTTATTCTCATTTTACATTGCATTCTCCATTTGAGTTACAAAAACGATACGACCCAAAATGTGTCACTCTTGTAGAAGGTATTATAATTTTTAAAAAAATCTTATAGAACAATAAGTGTTTGATGAATCGTAAAGTTAACTTAGTTTATTCTTGGTAACGAATAGCGTATATAATCTTTGTATCTAATTTATTCATCTGGAGACATGGTAGTGTCTCAGCGCTAAGACATTGTAATAATGACACGAAAGTTACATTTTCTGAGGTGTGTCACTTTTGAAATAAAGGAATGATATATAAATTCTAAATATATCTATAAAATAGTTCTATAAAATAGTTCTATATAACTAAATACATCTTTCTCTCGAATTTTATCTGTAACTAATGAAGCTTCTTAAAATGCTAAAAAGGATTTAATGAATAATAGTATTTTTCGTAATAAGTTCTTTTAAATGTTTTTTAAGATACTTATCAGCGTCGTTATTAAATTTATGACCAATTTAATTTATGATATCTCATTATTTCAACTTCAGTTTATAATTGTGTTTCGATTCCGACAGTAACCAGCGCGCAATTTGTATTATTAAAAGATGTATGTATAAAATTTACCTATAAATGTTGTTAAGCACCAAGATTTAGCCTTGATCATATATTGGCCCTCTTCTTACTTAATTAATTTACTTAAAAACATTTTTTTACATAAAATATGTTATCAATTGTAACATCACAATATTTTGTGTTAAACTATAATTTCTTTAAGCGTTAAATGTTATATATTTTGATAAACATTTCATATTTTGTGTGTGTGTTGTGTGTGTGTGTGTTGTGTTGTGTGTGTGATTTGAGCCATATTCGAAAATCTTTAAAGATTATTACGCAAACTTAAATGAAAATAAAATATCTTCTATGTTTTAATTTTCAAATTTGATTTTCTCGGAAAATTTATTGTCTGTAAATTATATTGTTATATAATTTATATAATTTTAGCTTATTCTGTCAGAAGTAATCACTCATTCTTCCGGCTTGTATTATATATATAAACATAAAATATATTAAAAATAAAATTCTCTAAAACATACAAAGTCTGAGAGAAAATGTGTATACAAGCATTAAATATTTAAAATCGATTTCTATCGTTTCTCGTGTAACTTGGACTTCGTAACGCGCAATTACAGTTATTATCTCGTACAGAAAATCAACGCTCTATAAATCACTCGAAGTACTAATTACACGCGCGATATCTTTATGTCTGTACTTATGTATTGCGATGAAACGAGCTAAGTGCCATGCCAAGATATATTTTCGCAGCGCGGAAACTCGGCAGATAGGCAGATATTTGTCACTTTTCCTCGGTGGAAATCACCGGAGTAACTCCGTTTCCGACAAAAGTCAGAAGGGAAAGTGCTGCGCCTCCGAGGAAATGGGAAATAGAAGCTTGGAAAGAAATGCTGTCGCCGAGGAGAATCGCTCTAAGTGACATCTTGCCGTCGTCACGATCTCTATCATCACGGCTCTTCAATACCTATTCCACAATAGAATCGCAAGCCGTAAGCCGTAAGAAATTATCCAATCATATCCGAATATAAGAAAAATAATCGACTATGATTGATCAATTTCTTATGACTTACGATCTTATTGTAGAACAGACATAATACGCCGATGGACTGGATTCGACCGTAGAAAATTGCAATTGGACGATTGTTACAGTAATTACTAAATTGTTTAGTCCAGCGGACCAATCTGATCATTCCGATCGATCAATATTGTGGTCTATTTACACTGTTCTAGGACTGAGCATTTGCAGAAATAGCCGTCGTCAATACAATCATCGGAAATAGTTAATTACAATTACAATTGCAATTGTTGGATAATTTAATTAAAGTTATAATTATCAGCGTTTTAATAAAGTGTCCTATGTATATTCTCGATGCCTAGTGCATATTCTCTAATTTGATTGTCGTAAACACTTTACGACGCAAATCGATATTTGCCCCGCGACTAAGAAAATAATAAACATTGATTAATGATGGATATAATTAATTAATAATCGATTATTTCTCTCTCTCTCTCTCTCTCCTCTCTCTCTCTCTCTCTCTCTCTCAAACGATTAATCAGTTATTTTTTAATCTTGAGGGTCGACAGCAGGGACGTATAAGATTTCAAATCTGCATTTATAATTGGCAAATTTTAAATGGTAGATCCGAAATGGCGGATAAAATTATTATCAAGACATGGTGAATTCTGATATTAGTGTGAAATATAA